ACACAATTACTACTGCAATTCATACATATTCTTTCCATCCATTGTTGAAATGAACTGATGTTACGCATCATTCGAATTGAATATTGGGTCCCACAACTCACGTCCCTTATTAAAACCACCATTACTAAAAAAAAATATGTTTCTTGGACATAAAAAAGGTCTTACTCTCAGATGACGGCTGCCCTCCCACCGGAGAGAACAGTATTATCTTATTATTTGAAGGTCCCTTTGCGCCAACGCATTCTCTTCGAGATTTCACCAGTCGGCGTTGTACTATTTTCAACAAGCAACATCATACGTTGCTCCATCAGCCTTCTCGCAAACATATAACGCCTGTGCGCTAAAACGTCCAAAATCTACGCAAGCGTAGATCTTCGAAACGTCCGCTCGTTACCACTTCCCAACTCCCAATCCTTGGTCCCGCCATCGCTCCCCGACATAATGCGGCGCATTTGGTTGCACCCCGGCCTGTATACGCCATCCAGTCTGTAGCTACGCTTGGTCCATCGCTAGTATACAGGTCGTTTGGGCACCAACCGGATACCTGTCAAGGCACATCTGGACCCATGTACGGGTCATAGTTTGATTTGTCGGTCTTTGGCTGACTGCCTTGGACGGTGCCCTGTGAATGTGGGTCCAGAAAGATTCTGTCAGTTGTCCGTCGCAACGCATTTCTTTGTCAACGCGAATGATAAACCGTCGCACCTCATATCTCCTTCCTAGTTTATGTCCGAGGCCCTGAAAGACCATCATTTTGGCCTTCAACTTGCCGATGCTCGGTTCTGCGAAGCATCCGCGGTCTCTCTGGTTTTAGGCCCTGAAGTCTACCATAAGGTAATTAAGCCTCAGACCTAATCCAATACTAGTTTCCGATGGGCCCAGCTCACCATTTTTGACTGGGTAATATCGGGCCCATGCAATATCTAAAATCATGTTCAAAAATACCTGTCAAGGCACATCTGGACCCATGTACGGGTCATAGTTTGATTTGTCGGTCTTTGGCTGACTGCCTTGGACGGTGCCCTGTGAATGTGGGTCCAGAAAGATTCTGTCAGTTGTCCGTCGCAACGCATTTCTTTGTCAACGCGAATGATAAACCGTCGCACCTCATATCTCCTTCCTAGTTTATGTCCGAGGGCCTGAAAGACCATCATTTTGGCCTTCAACTTGCCGATGCTCGGTTCTGCGAAGCATCCGCGGTCTCTGTGGTTTTAGGCCCTGAAGTCTACCATAAGGTAATTAAGCCTCAGACCTAATCCAATACTAGTTTCCGATGGGCCCAGCTCACCATTTTTGACTGGGTAATATCGGGCCCATGCAATATCTAAAATCATGTTCAAAAAAAGTTAACGGATCTGGTCTCTATGAGCCACTTGACGGTCCTTGCTCTACTTTAGTATTTTTAATAAAATGTTTTTAAAAAGTAATTAAAACATAAAACAAACATATAAAAAAGGAGCTAAATTCGACAGGCTGAACTATTAATGCCCTCCAGCACATGGAAAGAACTTGAAAAAAATCAAAAAACTTAAATGAAAAATGTTATATGGAGACTATATGAAGGCTTATTACAACTCCGATGAATAATGTTGCACAAATCATAAAAATACCGAGTATTGGGAGGTACCGTCATATGGGAGCTATACGCGAACTTCAAATACGAAATTTGAAATAATTCCGGTAAATAATGTCGCTAAAATCATGAAAATACAGAATATCGGGAGGTACCGCCACATGATTAAGATTTTCCAATACGAAATTTGAAACGATTCTGGTGAACAATGTTGCTGCAATCATCAAAATACCGAATATGGTGAGCTACCGATATATATCATTTTCAGATTAAATGAAACCTTTTGCAATTGAAATGGAAATTTTTGCAGCGGAAATGGAACCTTTTGAAGTGGAAATGAAGTGAAACCTTTTGCAAATGAAATTTTTGCAAATTAAATGAAACTTTTAGATTTATAGAAAGAAATATTACAAAACATTTTTATTTTTAGGAGGTTCAAAATTAAATCAATTAATTATAACTAATATATAGTTAAAGATCTTTTAGCGTTAAGTATTAAGAATATTTAATATGGAAATATTTTATATCAAATCAATAAAGAACAGTTATTATTACAATAATTGAAAATTTAAGAAGTAATATAAAAATATAGATATTATTAACCAATAAAAATTCATATTTAACTATATATTAGTTATAATTAGTTGATTTAATTTTAAACGTACTAAAAATGTTTTGCTATGTTTTCATCTATAAATCTAAAAGTTTCATTTGATTTGAAAAAAGTTTCATTTCGGTTGCTGGGAAAATGAACTGCCAAAACAATTTTTGAATTGAAAATGTTGAATGAAAAATTATTTAAATTTGTAAAAATTGTTGAAAACGCGTATTATACATTAAGGGGAATGATAATAAAGCATTCAAATTAGATAATTGAGGAACTACTGAATTTTAAATTTAATAACCCAAATTCCAAAAAAAATAACTTATTTTTGAAATTAAAATAATTTATAGAGAATTTATTATTTTGTTTAAAATTTTGGATACGTAACTCTGACACTTGTATCACATACAAAAACAAATTTGTGTGTGGTTGTTGTTACGATTGTTGTACACCAACACTTGCTCTTACCTGTACTATTCTACCATGGGATTACATAAAATCCAATTCATCTTCCACAGCTTTGTTATATTTTTGAGAGTCAGGTTTACCAAAAATATCTGGTAAAGTACTACTGAAAGACTCAGACGTTGCGAAATTGTTAGGAAAATAGTCTAAGGCCTTTTCATAAAGTAAAGGTTAAAAACTGAACCATAGAGAAAATACTTAAAAGAAAGGGCTTAAGAATCTAAAAGGACGTCTTCGTTCTCTTCTGCTTCTACAAGTTTCAGCAGATTCTTGATCATATTCTTCTTCATCTTGATCCGATAAAGTTGCATTACTTACTCTTTCATGGTTAATTTACTTACTGTTTCATCATAATTTGGAATATTTTCTACTTCTGACACTGAATCTGTATCTTTTAAAATTTCCAATGTTTCCAAGCGTTGATGCATCTACCTGTATTCTTCTACCATGCTGCAGGCTGTTGAAAATCATCCTTGCTGTGAATAACGACCACGCTCACCATTTGCCCAATTCACACTAGAGTAATTTTTAGTCCTAACTAAATTTCTCTTTATCTTATTCAAATCCGAAAGTAGAGTATAACTATCCTATACTCGGATATGACAATCCGAAAGTAGAAAATGTGTTTGCAAATTAGAGAGGGTAGAAAAATTCGCATTCAATATAATTTACTTTCGAATCGAGTTACGTTAAATCCCCCCTGATAATTCTATTTACAAAAGCAAAGGAACAATGTTAATAGTTGTGTTCCAGAACCTACAAATTAGAACTAATTAGTACTAATTCTGCTACAACGCGTTCCCGTACTCCAAAAACCAGCAAAACTTGCAGCTCTCTCGAGAAAAAAATGGCGCTGAGTGGTGCACATTTCTGCTTGTTTTAGCTACACGAATTTGTCCGAGCAGAAATGTGCATATCAAGGTAGATCTAACAGGTAACTGCATCGGCGAATTGCTACAACAAAGCAACTTTTGTGGTACCCTCAAATGTCAAATTGGCATCTAAGGCGAAAAATATATATTCGACATGACATTTAAAGTTTGCGGCAAATTTGTTTCAACCAATCAGAAACGAGATGATTGTTTACATTTTATGCTGTGTGTGGAAATTAAGCCAAGTAATAATACGACTCTCGGGGACCATTGCCAAAGTCCCATGTTAATAGTTAGACCTGGAAATGTTTGTACACTGTAATATCTTCGACGTCTGGGCCGCCTGGAAATGTCCACGATAAATTACATTTCAAGGCCAGTGCTGAACATAATCTCAACACCTAGAATTTGAATAAAATTGCACTACGGATTCACCCGCTAACATCTTCAGCGACATTGCCCAAAATGTATCGGATTTTAACAGTGTACATATGCAGCAGCAGTAACAACAATTCTCGAATTGTTCTATGCAAAATCAGGGCACCAATACTCCAATGCATATGGCCATACATACCCCACATATTCAGCAGCAGAATATGAATATCTGTAATCAAAATCTTAATAATTTGGCCAATCGCCAACAACGTAATACCCAACAACAAAATCTTTTTCTTTTTAATTTTTTTACTGGTAATCAGGTCAGAAAAAAATACTTCTAGTGAAGAAGACATAAACAAGCTTTGTTTTTGTGTTGCATTCATTTAGGGCGAATTCAGCATTACAACAACTTGTTTTGACATTTAAAGGTGCCGTCAGCTGGGCTGATGCGACTACCTTGTAGATCTACCTTGGTGCATATTATAAATTTGACATTTAATTGGCAGGGCTAACAAGGTTCAAAAATGTATTGATACATTTCAATGTTCGCGCGTCACAACAAAAATAAAGAAAATGATCAACTTAAAAACTAAAGGAAATACTAACATTTGTCGTGCAAAAAAAAAAAGAGAAAATATGAAGCAACTGATGTATTCACTTTTAGATGATTCCAGCAATGAAGAGGACTGGCTGAATGAGAAATCAGATTATTAATTATTATTATAGATTATTAATTTTAACTTATCGTCTTCAATAGTCATTTTTTTTTAAATTTTGGCGTCCTTTTCAGTACGGTTTCACCAGTCCGATTTAAACTGTTTGCTTTTGGAATTTTGACATTTTATCGCATTTCAGCTAATTTTCCGTTCCCTTATTTTTTGTGCACGCCTAAATGAGAATGACATTTCGAACTCTTCTGCTAGTTTTACTACTAAAAAAGTACTGGAACGCAACTATTATGTTTTATTTTTTTGTGATTGCTAGCTATCACCTTACAGTGATTAGCACAAAACAATGTTATCATTTTTCTGTGGTTATCTGATCCCCATTTAACGCCGCCAAATGCAATGTTTCTTACATCGACAATTGAAGGCGCGACCATTACAGTACAGTTACATTTGGTCAGTTGTATTTCTGATTCCAGGAGATATTGTTCGATTTTGTTGCTTGGATTCTGTTGTGTTTTTGTTTGTGGTTGCAAGTATATAAGGATATACAAAGCAGTTTGTGGTGTGTACATTGTATGTGTATGTACAATTTCGAGTTTGTGTTGAGTGCCTGCCTTAATTTGTTTCGTTGGTTTCATCAATTGTTGTGCATAGTGTATTTGGAGTAAATCGCAGACAGTGGATATTATTCAGTAACAAAAATTTCGACCGATTTTTGTATAGTGAGATCGCTAAGAATTCTCAAAAATGTCTGCCGAAGTTTCTAATAATCCTGCAGTAGAAAATAAGGTAGAAGATGCTACCGCCCAAAATGAAAACGAAAATGCACCAGAAAAAACCGAAAATGTGGTAGACACTGGTAACGCCCAAGATGATAATGTAGAGAAACAAGACGCTGCTGTGGAAGACACAAAGAAAGAGTCGGAAACTGCAACAGTCACAACAAAATCGGAGCCTGCACCCAAGTGCAATGTGCACAAAACTAATTTCGAGAAGGATATGATTTACCTCTATCAATTTTCTAGAACGCCACTATTGCCATCTTTATCGCCATACTGCCTTAAAGTGGAAACCTGGCTCCGTCTTGCTGGGCTTAAATACGAGGTAAGAATTTAAAGTACTTGGCATTAAAAAATCGCAAATTTTTCTGTTAAAAATTCTTCAAAGTGGAGAAATTTGCTGTTGAAAATTCTTAATTTTTGTATGTATGTTTGTAATTGCATAAAATACATCCGCCATATTGATTTTTTCTAATTGTAGTACATCTCCCTTTGTTTAGCATATTTCCTTTTAGGATTTTTTTTTCAGTATACATAGCACAGCGCTCAATCCGTAGTTTTGAGTGTGTGTTGGTGTGTGTATATACACCAACAAAGATTCACACAACAGTCCTCAAACGAACATAAAGTTTGCTCAATTAATGCACATGAGTATATTTGAGTGAAAAAATGTGCATATTTTGTTGGGAGTGATGTTGGTGGTTGTTTTCTTTTCTTCAATTGGAAGTGAAGAGAGAGATTTTCGCCTCTTCTTATAGAGACACGGTTTTATAATTGGTTTGCTTTTTTAAATTGGTTTCCATTTGACACGCATATACAACATCCATTTTTTAAAACTGATATTTATTGTCACCATGGCGTAATGAGAGTTTTGTAAAGAAACATGAAGAATACACAATACAAAATGCTGGGTGTGGATAAGAAAACATTATTGAGTATACGTTTAATGCGCAAGTTATCCCTGGGTGTAGTCCTATCCCCGTTGTAATGGTAAATATTCTTCAAAAGTTACTTAAAATAATAAGGTCAAATATAGGAATGGATTTATATTGAACATTAAACATGTAACTTTATTCGTCACAATTATGACGGTGTGGTTGTTACTGCCACCGCCTCTGTACACATAAACGAATATGGGGCGGCAAAACAATATATGCCTCTTTAGGTAAACAAAGCTATTACCCAAAACTGCAAGAACCCCACCCATTTTTCAGTTGGTATTACATTCCTTTTGCTGCAATGCGAACCACTCCCTGTTAATTTCAAATATGATAGCAACATATACGAACATGCAGAAATCTTAACACTTAACAAAATTTAATTCATTTAATATTATATTTTTAAATATGGGGTAGTAGAATAAATTCTAATATAACAATTAAAGACACACAACACATTTTTTTTAAACTTTTTTGTGGGATGTCCCGACTTAGGTTAGGCAATTTTACTTGCGACGATTTCATCGTTCTTTTAACCTAACTTGCATTATTACATAGCAATTCGTTTAAATAATGTCGTTTTTGCCCAGATACGTCGGCCGTACAAAATGTCAAAGTTGAACATTCTCAACATTGGGAACAACTCTAGTACAAACTCTTGCATTTTTTTTTAATTTTAACCATAGCTAAGCGTTTCTACCCTGATTCCGGGAAATTATAGCTGACACTCTTACCTTTCCAAAAAGCTATAATTTGTGCTAATACCTTTTTCGGGTCCACAGATATGGGTCTTCTATATACATATATTATCTATATTGGGTAAGTGAATCCGGGTCTTGAACCCGTGCTTTCGGGTCAAAAATCTGGGGTCCCGGGTCCGTCCCCCAATAAAAAAGTTTCCCGGAATCAGGGTAAAAATACCTACCACTGAAAAAATTTAAAAAAAAATTCAACAGGTTTTACTACACTATAATTAAGCCTATCTATCTTTAAAAATTAACAAAAACTTTGAAATTTCTTTTTCTATAAACTTTAGAATGTCGATCACAAGATGAGATTCCGGTCTAAGAAAGGTCAATTGCCTTTTATAGAACTAAATGGCGAAGAAATTGCCGATTCAGCTATAATCATAAAGGAGTTGTCAGCAAAATATGGTAAAGACTTAGATTCTGGATTAACATCGGAACAGCGCAATGTTTCATATGCCATGATAGCTATGCTTGAAAATCATTTAATTTGGATAATATTCTACTGGCGAGCTAAGTTTCCAGATAACGTTCTTAAGGGATACAAGGTCAACTTGCAACACGCCTTAGGTTTACGTTTACCCAACTCCATCTTGAATTTCTTCTTTAAGATAACGTTTGGAAGAAAGGTAAGTTTATTGCATATTGAACGTTAACAAATGGAAAATAGTAGTAAATATTGTATTTTACTCTAAAATTTAAATGTTAAATAATTTTTATTTTCTTTGTTGAGATAGTAGTATGTGAAGTGGTGTACATCCTGGGTTTATTTTTAAACATACACAGGCTGTAAAGAACGAACAGACATGAAAGTATAGATCATGAACATTTTGTGTGCCCTGTGAATTTTGTTAGCTGTAAAATGATACATCCGCTGTTTTAATCATATATTTTTTTTTTCTAAAATTAGGGTTTTTATAATTTATGGTAGGTCATGTATGTTAAATATTCGCCTCATCATAGTTGATATAATTGCCATGTATATATTAACCTCGAAAATGTGAAAATGTTCGTATTTTTCAAAGTCGTTGATTACAACAACATTTACAATAAAATTGAATTTTGACCATTTGTGATAAGGCGGTATTTTGGAAATCCTTTCTAGAATAAGCATGAGCTCCGACTTTTTTATTTTTATTACAAAAAAAATTGAGGACGAAAGGAAAAATTTTTAGAAAGTTCCTAAGAATACGAAATGTGATAAGCCCGAATTTACATCAGCAAATTGATTTGCGTTGTGGAATGAAAAAGGAAAAAATCCTCGTATACAAAAAAAAAAAAAAAAAAAAAAAAAAAAAAAAAAAACATTTCGCAAGTAAACCTGCTTATTCTAAATCAGGACAAAAAGATGGAGTAATATTCTTAAATTTGACTGGAACGAGTGTTGCTATTTATAGGAATATGTAATGGAGCTCTAAAATTGATATTTACAAATTGGTAGAACTATGATTTTATTGTAGATATTATTAGCAAAAAACATTGGCCCATTATCATTAGAAAGTAATATGGAGTTAAACCAATGAGAAATACGAATACTAAAGTGTAAAATTAAAATCTCTTAAGTTTTTTAATCAATTACTGTTCTAAAAGTCTTATAAGTACAGTGAAAACTCTCAATAGTGGACACTGTCTCGGACAACCCTTTTAATGGACAATAACCGCAGATTCAAATACAAATTTTCCCATTTGCGAACACTTTCTTCAACATATGAAAAATAAGAAAAAAATTCGTTTACAATGTCAAATAACCTAAAACTTGACAGACTGTGTCTGAAATAATTTTCTAAAATTCAGGTAAAATCGGAAATACAGATAGCGAAATAGAAGCCGAAGACGTTTCTGCAAGTGACGACTGGGTAGTGGTATCAAATAAAGAAACAAATGCTGCTGAAGCTCTAGAATACCTCAGAACATTTTTAAAAACATTTGGGCAGACTTATTTTAAAGCGCTTCACTTAAAAGCAACAAGAAATTCATTTACAAGATCTTTTTGTAAGGAAAAATAAGCAAATTTGCTTCAAAATCTATAAATGATTTATTCGGAACGTGTACTAGTGAATTAATTTATTTTATTTTTATCTGAATGGTCTCCTTTTGTTACATTTTTTTAAATAAAAAATAAATAAAAACTCTTAAAAAATGTTTTTTAACCTTCCACAGGCGGACACCTTACAATAGATCAATTTCGGTCGACCGTCACTGTCCACTGTTTGGAGGTTTCACTTTATAAATATTCGGCTACATACACTAATGATACAAAAGTGACGTGCCCTAGGCCCTATCGAAGCTATTATAAAATAATAAAAACAGACAAGTTAATGGTAGTTGTAACAAGGCCAATGATTTATTTATTCAATTTTGATGTATTTTCTAAATAGGGATACATTTTATATCGAACAAATTTCTGTAAAGATAGATTGATGATCTTACAATGTTTGTAATGCATACATTTGCTTAAGAATACGATCGATAATGGACAGTAATAAATATGGTACATTTAAAATTTAGGGTTTAAAACTGTGTTTTATGAGCTTCTTTATTAATATTTTTTACCAATTGTTTTATTATTATATTTTGGGCAAGAAGGCACAAGGTAGTTTTAAAAAAATAATAAAATTATCAGGAAATGAAAACTATGTAGCAAAATATATGATAAAAAACATTGCATTTAAAATTTGTCTATTAACAATTTATGCAAGGTACATAGCAGTTGTTCCTTTTCTCTACACATATCTGTGAGTTCTGTAATATGTAATTAATATTGTTACTAATTCCATAGTCGTGACAACAATTTTATCTTGGAATTAGACATGGAATGGAATTCTCAGTTTGTCACTCAGGTAATAATAAAGTATTTAATGTTATATATTGGATTAATAGATTCTCACAAACAGTTCATATTCGTTCGTACCACTTAATAATGTCTATCCATTAACCATGTTCACAAATGTTGGGAAGGAATTTTGCTCGATTACGCCTTTTTCCTTTAGCAATTCACTAATTACAATCAGTGTGCATACACATACATACATACATCAACAAATATGCTGATTATTGGTCATTGGCATATAGTGGCATTTTGTTATAGTCTAACGCTCATATTTTAAACAAGTTGTGCTTCCAAGTTTTAGTTCACTATAAATTGTTTACTTTTACTCAAATTGTATTGTGCAAATTTTTCATAAATAGTGGTTCCAGGGTACAAAAAAACTCAAAGCTCATGGAATTGGTGTACACAGCGCGGAAGAAATTGAGGAATTTGGCAAAAATGACCTGAAAGTACTTAGCGAAATGTTGGATTGCAAGCCTTTCTTCTTTGGAGATGAGCCTACCACACTGGATGTTGTTGCATTTGCAGTATTATCTCAACTTCATTTCTTGTCAAAGGATGTACAGTACGTACTGCGAGATTTTATGACTGAAAAATGTCCAAATCTTGTTGGTCACGTTTCTCGCATGAAAGACAAATGCTTCCCTGATTGGGATGAAATATGTACAAAGTTGGACTTAAATGCTCATATACAAAAGCCAGAGTGAGTATATTTAAATGTTTAATGTTTGAAATTATATCTATAATGCCTAGTTGCTTATGTACACAGCATTGCAATTAGTTTCCATTTTTATTTTATTTTCCTTATGGTGAAATTAAGAAGGTAAAATTTCAAATAAGAATACCCATCATTTTCTGTAATTTACCTTGTAAAATTTTACAGCTTAAAAACTAGGTATCCGTCTCTGATTTGTGTATTTACAATGGATTTATAAATATACTAGCTGGCCCGGTCCGCGTTGCCGGCCCGTAGTTTTAGTCTTTAATGCAAATTTTGTATAGCATAATATTTCACAAATCTGGCTCATAAAGGTGAACAAATTTTAACATAAATATTGATTCGACTAAATAGAAATAAATACCTATGGAAGGAGGGCAAAATAATTTCTGAATAGTCAAAGGTAATTACGCTTTTACACCCATTACCATAGCACCTCTTTGCGCTTTAGAGTCCCCAAGAAGTCTATGTTCTTGTTCCTAGTAAAATTCAATGACGAATCAACAATGCATATGTTGTTGTCTGCCAATAGGTAAAAATCACTATAGATCGCGGCCCTTGGGACTATATGAGGACGGTACCAATATTTTAACCTATGTTAAAATTGTTATGTAAAATGGTTCTTAACTCACAAAGTAGCCTAAATACAGCAAAATCGATTGGTAAATGTGGTCAAGACCCTCGAAAAGAAAAGCCAAGATGCCAAATAAAGGCCAAATCAGTTTAAAAACGTGGCCAAGACCACGGTCATAGCTGAAATCAGGGATACATTCATATGAGGGTTATACCAAAACGTACCCCAACCAATATTCTCTTGGGGGTTAAAAATTCAATAAAACACAAAATTTTCTTTTCTGACCACACATTAGATGTGAAAGTGGACTTGGTGATACTCCAATGTGTGGACTTTACTTAAATAAATTCCGATGTGGTAATTATCTATATGATTGTTCCCTACCCCAGGGTAGCATAAATACAATTTTTAGCAAATCAATTGATGAATGTGGTCAAGACCAAAATGGGCCCTACTCTGAAAATTAAAAATTTTATGCGAAGAGGTTCTCTACCCCCTTAGAAACAAAGATGCCAAATAAGGGACAAAATACGAAAAAAGTGACCGAGACCCCAAAAAATAGCTTAAATCATACGATGGTTGTATAAATATGAAATCGGGTTGTACCCTTATCCGTGAGTTATGATCGATATTATGACCTGCAAAAGCGATTTAAGGTATCTTCAATGTTTGGAAAGAATTTCTGGAAGGATAGAAATCCTTTTCTTATTAAAAGTCCCATTCGCTCTACTATTTTCCACCCTTTAAATTTGGCATTTTACTGATTGTACTCTCAAAGAATTTTGCATTTTGAGCTCTCATTGGACGGATTATTGTCACATAAAAGAAGTAGGTCCACGCTTTTAAATGAGCCCCATTAGGCTTTTTCGGTCATTTTTGTTTGTTTAAATGTGTTGGCGTCTTCAAGCTGAACCACGATGTAGGCCCTGGAGTTGAAAGGTAGATGTCAGTAAAATTGGCCCACCGTTTAACAAAACCTAAAACACCATTTGCTTTATTTACCATTGTTATTACATGGCTATTAAAATTAAATTTTGGATCCATCAAGAGGCCTAGATCGACAATTGAATCTACAGTTGAAAATGAATGACCGTCAATATTATATTGCAATATCAGAGAAGAAGATCTGGAGAAGCACATATGCTTACATTTGCTTAAATTGAAGATCCATACAATTTAACCTGCACCATTGAAAAAGGCTATCTAAATCGTTTTGAAGTAAACTAGCTTGTTTATCACAATTATGAGAGATGAATAATCATCTGCGTACATTAACAATTTCGAGTAATTTATGGAATTAGGTAAATCGTTGATAAATAAAAGAAAGGGAACCGGGAACACCCGATGAAACGTTAATCGATTTAGATAACTTCCCTTCAAATAAAACTAATTATGATATATCTTGTAAGTAAGACAATATAAATTTCACTAAATTTGTGTTGAAGCCCATATATTTTAATGTAACAGTTAACCCTATCGAAAGCTTTACTGAAATCAGTATAAATTGTGTCAGATTGGTTACGCTGAGCAAATCATTTTATTACTCTTGACGTAATTTGCATAAAATTTGTGTAGTTGAGAGACCACTACGAAAGTCATGCTGATATGGGCTCAATATACTTTGAATTTTGAGAGCAGTAATTAATTTTCCGAAAAATTTTGGAATGACTTAATTTTGCGATTCCTGTATAATTTGACACATTAGTAAGGCTACCAGACTTATATAAAGGTATAATAAAAGATTTTTTCCAGAATGTAGGAAAGTGACCAAATTTAAGTAAATAATTAAACAATATAGTTAAAGGAAGTGCTAATGTTTCTGAACAATATTTAAGAATTATATTAGGTACGCCATCTGGTCCTGGACATTTAATCGATTTTAAACTACGCAGACTATTGGACACCTCCTGACGTTGTAGAAAAGTTATAGAAATTTGATCAGCCTGTGATAACTTATAAGGATACGAATCTCTAATTTGGCAAGATGTACTTGAATACGTTGAGGCAAAAATCTGCGAAACATTCAGCAATATCTGTGGCTGTGACAAATTCTTTATTGTTATATTTCAATACTAAGGGCTTTGAGGAAACTTTACGTTTTAGATTAACAAAGTCATAAAAAGATTTAGGGTCGGATTTAAAATTATTTTTAATCTTGTCTAGGTAAAGGTTATACAATCTACGAGACTCTAAAGTTTATTTAGATCTAGCAACAGAGTAATTAGTATAGTTTATTGTTAAGCCTGTTTTTTTATATTTACGAAAAAGCTTATTTTTAGAATTTTTTAAACTTGATAACTCAGGGCTTATCCATGGATATTTATTTTAATTTTTAACTCTAGTGGTTGGAACACATTCCAGTTTAAATCTATTTAAAATATCATAAAATTTATCAATTACATATTCTAGATCTTTATGGCTGTTACACAGGCACACAGAAGCCCAATTAACGGAGGAAATGAGGGTATTAAGTTTTCGAAAATAGTTTTTTTGTAATTAAGGACAGTTTTAAATGAGTCGGACTGACTTTCTTAAATTACATAACTGTGAGTCATGGGGATATATAAAGTTGGATGGTATATATCTTCAGGAGTGCATATTGGAGGAATTCTGAATATATCAAAATGCTGTGTTATATTTACAAACGCCAAATGAAGAATTTTCCCGTGAGAATTTTTCACACTGTTTATTTGATAAAGATTTAAGTCACAAAAACTATTTATAACTTCAAATGTATACTGGGTACTGTTCATTTCGGATGGTAAAGGAATCAAAGCTTCAAAATCTGGCATTGGAAGGCATATTAAAATCACCAAGAATCAGGATGCGATCTTTAATTTTTTCAGTGATTCAACAATTATGAAACAATTGCCAACGAAAAAGTCACACGTGACGAAGGCAAAGCAATCTCTACCTGCTTTTCCGATATGTGAAAAAATAAATTTTTTGTAATAAAGAATTTCTTGGCGAATACTAAAATATTAAAGGTACTTCTAATTGGTCCCCACAAAATTTTCACATTTCGTGGTTATTGACGAAAAAATCTAAAATGTTAATCCTTATTAAAAAACAATAATCCCCTGATTTTTTTTTATTTTGAATATAATTTCATAAATGTTTGCCTCCGGTAGTGAGGTGTAAATAAGAATGAGTGCTACTGTAATTCACGTAACAACACTATATACTTCCATTGTTCAATTCTGTGCAACTTCTGTTATTGAATGAGAGTCAAATCTCTGTCCACAAACTTTAATTTTAAAAGAATAGGCAAACAATATTTACCTCTTTTTTATGACCAAAATTTTATGATAATCACTAATAAATTAGGATTATTCAGTATATATTTCATTTTTTTTTCTATTCATTTGTTGATGTCTATGCACATTTTGTTATTGAACTCAATTTTATATATACGCGGTGTTTGTTACTTCAAAATTACAGCACATACAAAAACACACACTCACCGTCGAAAGTAACACACACACACACTGTCTCTCAATTTAAGCACACGTACACAAATGACACACAATTTGACGATGACACGGTTCGATGTCATCGTTGACACCATGCAAATATTCGAGTCAGCCATGCCACGATCGAACCTTAGACAATAGCACACATGAATCAAATTGGGGGATGTTGTTGGTTGTCATTGCCTATCAAATACATAGCGCATGATTGTAGGCAAATTCAGTGTGTCGAAAAAAGCATAAATCATACAATTTGTCTTGTGCAGGCCTTTAGTATCAATTGCAATAAGGACAAACACGATCTTTTCTAAATATTTGATATTTTGAACATAAAATTTCACTATTTAATATAGATGTTTTTAACCAAGTTTCGGAGAAAACCAATACATTATAATTTAAACCAATGCTATCAGTATATAAACTGATTAATTTAGTATTAAGCCCCCTAACATTCTGATAGCAAATAGAAAATGAGTCATTTAGTTCTTTGGCACCGAATCTGGTCTAAGAGGCAAATGAGTTAAATTATCGGATCTCTCCAGAAATTTTTTAATAAATGCCCTAGCAGGCCAAAATTCTTTTAAAATCAACTGTGTAAAAATATTTTTAGGCACAACGATTTTGAAAGAAGATCTACTTTCAGAAAATGCAGATCGGAGCTTATAACATCTCAAAAAGTATTCTCCCTCAATTTTTGATTTTATATAATAGCTTATGTCATCGGCCGTTGTTTCTGGTGCAAACCTTGTTGCAAATGTCATTTTCATGGCGGGAGCCATAAATAATAAGTTTTTCCAGTAGCAGTCTCGGGATGATCACTAGTGATAAGTGAAGGAAGTGATAATTCCTGTATGTCACGAGTAGATTGTGAGGTTTTCTTAGAAACCTCACTATCAATACTCATAACATTAGGATTATTTACCCCTTCACTTATACCGCTG